TAATTAATCTAATTTACTACACTATTAATTAATTAAACTAACAAAACTAAATAATAAGTATCTTCAAGAATCTTCGTCCTCGGCTCGCACGGCTCGCCTCGAGTGATCGCGCATCACGTCCGCGTACTCCTCCACGTGCTTCCTCACGCGACCCGTTGCCAACTCTCGGGCTCAACCGAACCACTATCGCTAAGCCCACACATGCTCCCAAGTCCAGGCCCGTCTGCATGTGCGCCATGTTCGTATGCCTCGAGTACCTAGGGCTCAGGCGGCATCTCCGCGTGCGTGCCTTTATGCTCGTGCAAACTCCTCTCGCGTGTGGCCAATTTTTTACGCAACAATCTCGTATTTCACTTCGCGTTCGCGTTAACCCATCTCGTGCTCGTATGCCTCGTATTCGCGCCCGCACACGTCTTTTTGGCCATGCACGCGTGGTTTCGGCCCTTTTCTCGACCTTCTTGGAACGCTTCGACCATTGGCTCTCGGCGTGCTCGGGCCTCGAAAGCCACTTCCGCATCACGCGCCCAGCGGCCCTTGCACCCTTTTTTTTTCAGATTTTTCCGAGCCTATATCAATATTTTGAGTTAACAACTATTATAGATGAGAAAATTGGGTCTTTTAGGTATGTTTGATGGATGTGTGAAGAAATTATGCATGGTTGATGAATGGGTGAAGAAAAAATATGCATAAGTTAGGAAATTAAGGATTTTTTCACCCTATATAAACCACCTTCATTACCATCTTAATTCATTTACTTCTTCACCATGTTATGTACAACTTCTCTTTCTTTGTAATATTTCCAAGAGTGTTCTTAGTGTTCTTGATATTTTTCAAGTTTGATCTTTGCATGCAAGCTCGGTTTTAATCTTTTTGTATTTTGAAGTTTATAAGTTTGAAGATTGTTGATGTGTTGAGACATTACGTTTGCAATTCCTCTTGCTTGTGAATCAATAGTAAGTTTTCTTTTCATTTTATGTTATCAATAGTTTGTTTCCATAAGAATTTGTATGTTAAAATTACTATGATCAACTAATTTCCTAATTAGGGTTAAGAGATAATCATTTTAGTTTATTAACATTTATAAGTATTTTTATTACTCAATCTTTACAAATTTTATTAATCTTATGGTTAAATGATTGATCACCATTTTAATCTACATAATCAATTTCAAAATCGATAGAGGCGAAATTGATATAACTTGATTTGTTTGGAATAGACATGTTTGGAAACGTATTGTTTATGTGTTAACCGTTTTACTAATTCACTTGTTTAAAGTTCATCCGTATATTACGAGAGTTAGTACGGATAAACTACTAGATGAGTTAATTAAGTGAACCGGTTAACC